AATGCTACGTTCTCGGTTTCATCGTGAATTCATGGACTAAAATACTGTATATTTTATTTCTAAGTTTAATGTTCATTAATATTTATTAAAATACAAAGCCCGAAGCATCGATCGATCGCGTGGTACCCGCGTATTTTAAGTTTTAAAGCAAGAACTCAACTCCTTTTAACTTTATACTGGCTTTGCAGTGTGTATTTTATGAAGAAGCTTTGAATCAACAGCGGCTCTAAGAAACATCGTCCTAGTTTCAACAGTAGACAGCAGGCTGTACCCGCGATTTTTCTTACATAGACTTGATTCTTTGCAAAACTGGGATAATGTGAACCTTCCATTTCCATACACGGTTTTAAAAGTCCAATGCTGAATTTTTGTTGAGGCATTTGCCATAGTTGCCACGCTTGGCAGGTGGGTTGGCAACCACAGTATTTTTTTATAAAAATAATTGATTCGAAGGTTTTTCAAAATTGAATGTTTCATGGAAAAATCAACTGATTTTGACGAGCTTGACGGCGTTCGACGCAGTTTTTTAAGCAATCATATTCAATTTATTACATCAAATACGATCCGAGAAGAAATTTCGAAGTTATTTGAAAAAAAAAACATTTTTTCAAAATCTTTCGTTAACGATTTATCAACCGATTTTATGCGCACACACGCACGCACGCACGCACGCACGCAGGCACGTACGCACGCAGGCACGTACGCACGTACACACGCACATACATACGAACATAGTGATATCCTCGTAGAAATAGTCAGAGCGGCTTTCTAGGATCTCAAAACGTGGATATTATTTTTTAATAAATTGACTTCTTTCGGTAATAATAATTAAACACAACGGTAAGAATTTTAAATTGAAAGCATTATGAACATGAACGGCCATTGAAGATTGTTTACGCGTATCGTTGTGTCTTGCCCTATATTTCATAATAGCGGAAGTCGGGACCACCCACGAGAAGCGCGCGATCACATTAGTATATTTCCGCATAGTTGAAGAAACCCGCGATCATCATACCCTTTGTTCTTACAGTCTCATAATGGTATTAAAAAAAGGAATTTCAGTTGCAATTAACGTTCAAAACTAAAAATTTAATAAAGAACTATGCCGAGAAATCTGTGAACACATACATTTTGGTATGTGTTCACCGATTTCTCGGTTAACGGCTGTACCTATCAATGGAAATTATTTTTTCTTTAAATTAAATAAACTGTTATAATTCACAGTACAGTCACTCATCACAACAAACAGCAGCGTCAAAGTTGCGAGACATCGACATCGACAGCGAGGTTGGCAACGGGAAAAAATTGTGTTTAATGGCTAACGGATTTTTTAACGGAACAACAAAAATTTATGTTTTTTAGATTTGTTTTCGAAATAAAATAATTTGGAAATGGCAAAAATTAAATTATAATTTTATTAATTTTTTTAGTGTAAAAATACGAAAAAATGCGCAACACATAATTATCTTTAAAAATTTGAGATAGTAAATTTTCATTTGACCTAATTCTTTTAAATACAGCTCCGAAACTGTTTTGTTGTTGGTCGGCCAAAATGATGCGCTACTGTTGAATATATAGAAAACTATCAACTACTCTATTTATTTCATTCTCTCTCTCTCATATCCTGCGAACCTGTGATATCCTCGAAATTCAATAAGTTTTAGTTCGATGAAATGAATTTATTACCTAGAGCATGTAGTAGATGGCGGTATTACAAATCTTAAATAGAAAATGTTGTCTACCGAAAACTTGTCTACCGTACTTGACGGGATTTGACGGGATTATAGTGTTCTCTACAACGGGAGTTAGATTTTAATGTCGGCAACACTGGTTTTCTGCCGCCCGGTTAGTCTCGCTACGGCTTTTGAACGGGGAAGCTGTTTCACTTACGATCAGAATACACATTACGCAATAGGACGACGTAAAATTAAAATGTGAAATAACCGTAATAAGAATAGGAAGCGACTGGGTTGGCATAAAGAACCAGACACAAATATGATAAACCTAATGAAATAAGTATCTAACGACCTACCTACTTACAGTATTAGTGATTACAAACATGTGGATACATAGCATACGATGAGAAGTGGGGGGAAATTAAAATTTGAGCTGAGTTACTATATCCCCTTAAAATAATATAATAGGAAACAAATACACAAGACACAACCCGCTCACTTGCTCTGCTTAAACTCGTCGATCCCGTCCCGCGTATTTCTACTTAGTTAACTTCACTACTCAAATCAGTTTTAATAACTAAAAACGACAACGGGAATAGATGGTTAAACTTCTCAATAAATTGTACTGTACCTTCTGTGTTAACAAAGACTGTTGAAGTAATTGTTCACACAGCGACTGAGGAGCTAGGTAGGCGAGCTTCACTCACTATCAAATATTATCAATACATTTTTGTAGTATATTATATTATTATTTTCAATATCTTGTTCCTTTTATTAATTTCCTAAAGGTTATTTGAATAGCAGGAAATAATTTCAGTATTTACTTAAATATGTAAGTTTCAGTAAAGAATAAATAAATAGATGTTTATTATTTATATTTGATTAAAGTAAATGATGATGAACCGCTTCAAATAATAATCCTACTACACATTGTGTATCGTCGAAGTAGACGAGTGTTTAGACGATCGAGTAATATGGAATATCCATTCGAAATAGCCGAAGCAAAATCATACACACTGGTGATGGAGAGCAGCTTCTCTAGTGATGAATAGATCGACTCTGAGTTCACCAAATTACCCGCCAGGCATTATGCCTATTGACGAAATTTATTAAATAATAACAGTAACATAGAAAAGGGATAAGTGGCCATAAACCTGGTCGGCAGTTTTTAGGGGAGCGGCATTTTGGGAAAGAAACTCGGCTCTAGAATTGATGTCGGTAATAATCTCTAAAAATTTGTAAATTTTCACACACGCACAAAAGGGTAGGATTAAGTAAAAAAAAAAAAAACATTTTACTGTTTTATTCATTTTTAAATTATTTACAAAGATCCGTTACCGATTTTATATTTTTAAAGTACCTACTTGCGAAAATGATGCAGCTTGAGAAGGCGGCTCCGTGAGTTAGTAACCCATGCCACACCAATGATCAATAAATGCCATCTATTATAATTCTCTCAAATGCCATTATCTGTCAGTGGATTCAGGGGAAATAAATAGTAATTCTGCCGGTACCATAGTCAAAACTCCCAAACACTTCTGCTTGCAACTCCACCCGCACGGAAATAAAAACGCTTTTATGTTTATCTTGACTCGATAATATTGATTCTCCCATGCTACAAAAACGTAACAAAAATTGAAAAGGATTAAGTGTTAAAATTAATTAGCTATGATCCGAGTGCAAAATAATAATGATGTGTCTTACTTACCTTGTTTGAAAAGCACCTCCCGTCCTCCCTTTATGTTTACTCTACCCCAATTGATAATTTTAATTTTAATTGAGGGAGGAGTACTCTTCAAATAAGACTAGACCAGGGGTTGGCAAACTTTTAAGTCAGAAGAGTCAAAATTACAATTAACAAAATTTCAAAGTTTTTAAAGAGCCACAAATTTTTTCTTGCCAAAACCATAAATAGTACTTGCATAAATAAAATTTTTGATAAAAAAAAACTTATTAGTTCATTCATAAGAAAAATATATATTTATTGATCATATAAAAGTATTTTTTTTTCGAAATAAATTAGAATCTTTTGTTTGTGTTTTTTAAATCGATCAACTAAATTTCTAGAAATCCAGTATCAACTTCAAATGGCCCAGTGTGGATTTCGTGTGTGTGGGTGCGGTGAAAAGCGAGTACAAGTGGCTGAGAGATAGAAATGGTGTCTAATACTCGTTGATCGATACAGAATGATTCTTAAATGTTTTTTTTATAAAAAAAAATTAATATTTTGCTTATGGAACTAAAGATATTTGACATTTGTTGAAAACATCATAAATCATACGTATCATTAACAATCAAATATATCTTTGACTCGTTATCACGCGTCAAGAATTTTAAGGACGCGCCATCTCGTGAACATATCTATTGGAGATTCGACGATATGTAGTTCTTGTTGTGGCGCTGCTTGCGTTCCATTCGTCCATTCTATCATAGATTCATCCATTCCATGACAGATTGATTCATAAGAGTGATATTTTCCAAAGTTATCACGCTTGGCAAGCGGGTTGACAACGGCAGCTTTTAATTTTCTTGTTATTATTTGGGAGGCGCTACTAACAACTTCAGGTTTGTTTCGCCCTGACGTCTCTTACGATGCCCACGGGATAATATGAGATAGTCGACATTCTTACATCGCCACTACACAGTGAACTGCTACCCCCCAACACCAGACTATAAAATTTACTTTAGTGTGTGAGGCATCTTAACGTGGTAGAGCCACGGTAGTTCTTTATATACAAGTGGTAAAATTGAAAATTTTGTGTAACCGACTTCAATATAATTAAAATGGGAACAACAGTCAATTAAATACGCATTATTAATGATAACTCAAAACCTACTTGTCAGATCTTGATTAAATTTATATGGAACCAAAAGAGAAGTACCAGCTTTCAAATGAAAAATCAGAATCATCAAAATCGGTTCACCGAGAGAAAAGTTTTAAAGTAACACACATAACAAAACTTTGTTTGTTGAATACCTCCTCCTTTTTGAAGTCGGTAAAAATAAGGGCGACATGCTAGCGTACATCCCTCTTGATTATAAGTAGATGCTGTGGCCCATAGACACCGACATCTATTCGCGATTAAGTATCAAAATATAGCTTCGTTTAAACTTTAAAAATAATCTCAGTGTGACAGTGAATCTATAGGCCTCTTTGTTTAAAGGTAATGTCTACAGTAGCAAATTAATATTATGTTTACTGTTAGCTCGCTTTTCATTATTATATTATTTAAAAAATGCCCCAGCATACATAATATACTAACGTTTTCTACTAAGCGATAAATTGTATACTGATAAAATAAATACCATGGTTTTTTTCAACAGGTTCCACGCGAAAGCTTCAAGCACATAGTAAAAGCATGTGAGTGCCCTTTATACTGGAAGATGCCACTGTTCCTAGCCACGCAGCAATGTTTGCATGCACCAGTTGATGGACACAAGTTTATTGACTTCTGGAGAGAGTAAGTTCCCTTTTTAATATAGTCTTTTTATGTAACTTTCATATTTTAACACATAAAACCAATTTTTATGATCCCTGTCCTTTTAAAAAAATATCTATATAAATTGTAAAATAAACCTACAAGCCTATATACGTCCTGCTCCTGGGCACAGGCCTATTATCATTTCCGAGATCATTTTAGGGCAAGAAATGTCCCCGCCGCAATGTGTGTTGGCCGACTTTACGTGTTCGAAATATTTTATTTTATCTTCTCAGACATGCAGGTTTCTTCTACGCGATGTGTTCCTAGTAGTACTATTATTTATTCTGTGCCGCAGTGTACATGGTCAATAAACACTTAACGTGGCGGCGCGGCGTTATCGTCGCGCCACGAGCGTCACACTACAGACAACTAATCGAAGCCTAAATCACGCTATCAAAGTTCTGAAATACTACTGCGGTATACATAGAATATTTCTGTACATCTGCACGAAGCGTTGGCCGCGTCCCGCACAGATTACCAAGCCCAATGGTAGATCTATATTTTTATTTAATGGTCAAAGAGTAACTAAGTTGTATCACATCACCTTCTTGTAACTTTCATTTACATATTCATTGAGGATCGAACCCCGGCTGCTCGCGTAATGTAGGTCGTACGATAAACACTATACTACACGATAATGTCTTCCTGTATTTTATAATAAGTTCGCAAAATGTTCAGGCAAAATGTATCAAAAGTAAGTCTGTTAGTGGTCCATGTAAAGACATATTAAAAACACGCACACACACATATATATTCAAAGCTTCTTGCAACCTACGACTTTATGTAATTGTGATAAAATAATAAAATATAATTACCTATTTTCCAGAATGACGTCACAGTGCCATGACCTAGCGTCACGGTTTGTGTATATACTTACTCGGGGAAAAAGCAACACGCTAGCTCCTGAAGACTTCGTGCCGCTGGTGCAAGACGTTGTCGACACACACCCTGGTCTCTCGTTCCTAAAAGAAGCCACCGAATTCCACTCCAGATATGTGCATACGGTAGAGTAAAGGAAAATTACGCATTCTTTAAAAAAAGTATTTATGTGTTGAATATTAGAAGTAGTCAAGCAGTCGATTGTTTACAAATTTATGAAGAAAAACAATTATATTCTTACATAAAGTAACAGCCAACATACGTCCCAATTCTGGGTACAGGCATTTTCTAATTTTAGAGAGATATATAAGGCAGGGAAAAGTCAGCCACGTTACTTTAGTGAATGAAATAAAATCGTCATCATCATTACAGCCCACTATAAGTCCATTGCTGATAATAAGCGTCCCGCAGGGAATGCCACAAAGCAAGGTCCTGTGCCACATACATCCATCAAATTCCTGCATTTTTACCGGGTGGTCACTTCATCTAGTGACTCAAGAACCTTTTCTCGTCATCGGTTGTCAGTTCTTCGAGGTATATATATATATACTGAGAAAACATAAATTTTGCAAAGCCTTCAAACATTTCTCAATAGTTTTTGGATATAACTTCCGGATTTCCTTCGTTACTCACGGTGTTTTCTCTTACCTGCGAGTAGTTGGTAAATCATTACTGCTTAACAACTTCAGTGGTGCTGGCAGAAGGACCTCTTATTAAGCCAATGTTAATGTAAAGCGTTTAGATGATCATTAATTTGTTAATTGATTTTTGTTACCATAGCACATTATTTTTGTCGCAGGAGCACGCATTTCCTCTCAGCAAAAATTTATTTTGGTACCTAGATGTCGTCTAATTTAAAACTGAACGCGTAGTCCATTTATTTTAGTGTTCTTGTATATTACACTTTTATCTACTTTTATGTAGTACACTTTTATAACAAATAATGTAAAAATGCTAACATCTATTAATACACAACAGAAATAGCGAGCGGATTTAAATTTAATGATAATTAATACGGTAAATGTGACGAAATCTACCAAAATTTACATTGGAAGACAAGTGCAGTTTTAGTTCAAGCGATCTCTACGTTATTTAAAAAAAATATTTCCTTTTTGTATTTCAGGTGATCGCTAGAATATTTTACTGCGTTAATCGATCATGGTCGGGACGGATATCAATACCGGAGCTGAGAAGATCAAATCTTCTCCAAGTGATTCAGTTGTTGGAAGACGAGGAAGATATTAATCAAGTTACACAGTATTTTAGGTAGTACAATATTAAAGTGTGCAATATTTTTACATCATTAGAGTGACATTCTCATGTTAGTCTGGGACTTATTAGTGATCTGTTTATGTGGGACGTATAACAAAAAAGAATGTGCCAACTGTGTTACATAGCTAGCATGGCGTAAATGCGACTAATAGAATACTGGGTTTGTGATTGTTTTTAAATATTTTTTTAAATAATAATAATTTTTTAAATCATTTGATATTTTTCAATTTGCATAGGGTAGGGAGCATCTTTTAAGTACCTTTAGGCACTTGTGTCGGAGACTCCCGCTCTTCTATAGCCATACAAAACGTTCTAGAGACGAAATTACATATATTATAATATTGCGTAGGTGATGCTAGCCATCTATCGCTTCTTTCACAAATTTACCATCTTTTTTTCTTGTTAAAAGTGGTCTAAGTACTCGTAGCTCACTGCTCTTTGAACTTCGCCTACCCCTTCGAGGGTAGTGTGCAGAGCTTGCAGTCCAGCTAATGGTAAGATGCCACTGAAGGAAGTAAGAAAGGAGGATTTGCCCTTCACAGGCGGATTGACGATTATTTCACGTTTGACGTAAATGAAATATTTATACTGTCATCTATCGAAAGCCTCGTGTTTGAATCCTCTGCAGAACTAGTTGTCTGGCCTAAAATAGCTTAGCCTATTTGCAATACATTTTATAAGGCCTCCACGTTATAGAATAATATCTATCCTAGAGTAGAAGTAATATATTTTTTAAAGTGTTTAAAAAAAATTATCTTCTGTAATGTTAGCGCTTTGGTTTTCTATATTTAGAATCAACTACAGGTGAAATAGCAGCTGCTTGCTTTCTAATAGTATCTTTGTACTCGTTAATCACACATGTCAAAAAATCATCTAGTTGCTGACATTAAAGAAATAATTGCTCGTTTCAATTGACTTTAATACTTGTTCCAGTTACGAGCACTTCTACGTAATCTATTGCAAGTTCTGGGAGCTGGACAGGGACCACGACCTTTTCATAGACAAGCACGACCTTGCGCGGCACAATGATCACGGTGAGTGCTAGCTGCTAGTATTTTCGAAAAGTGAGCCGACATGGGAGCACCAGAGCTAGCCAAGTTTACTTTCTACTATCGTTAACGCTCATAGAAAACTAAAAAATTTGCTTTCTCTAGTCACAGATTTATATTCAATAAATTAATTAATATGAAAAAATTATCGCGGTTAAAACTTTTATTCACTATGTCATAGGAAGGACTTACTTTAGTATAGTTCTTTGAAGTGGGCTCTAGCTTTTTATTAAATGAATTATATATACATTATTAATGCTTTAAAATGAATAACCCAAAATTGTACCAAAAAAGTTTTGGAATAATTAATTTGTAAAGATTGATTTGTAACTACTAAGGAGATATCCGGATTCATTTCATACCATGGTGGGAAAATTATATATATTATTTTAATAGTTGAAATCAAATTATATTTTCTTACAAGCTTACAAGTCAATTAAAAAAGCATATCTCTAATTAATGTATTAGGCTACCGATACTAAATATAATAATAATAATGTCCTCCAGAGCGAATTTCGGCCATGGCGGCCCGCCTCAACGAAGGCTAGCCATCGGCGCAGGACAGGATTATAGTGCCCAAGTGTATGCGCAAGCACAGGTGCACTCTCTATTCCCTCACTCTCATAATCCGATGGGACGGTAAACCGACACGACCGGAGGGAGATCAGGCGCAGGACCAACGGCTTAATGTGCTTTGCGAGGCACGGGTATGAGACATCGCCAACTTTCTGACTCCGGGCAACTACTGAGAATTTCTTGACGGAAAAACTCAATAATTATTTTTAATGGCCCGAGGGGATTCAAACCCAGGACCTCATGATCAGCAGTCGCACTACTACAACCACTAAACCAACGAGGCAGTTATATACATATATATATATATATATATATATTATTTTTTTTTTTAAGCCAAAGACTCGATAGAAGTCGTTCTTAGCTGTTTTATGCACGTATAGGTGTTCTTTTCCGCTTAATATTTTATCTAAGACTCACAATAGACAATTTCTTAGTTGGGTGCAAGGTACAAGTGAAACCATACATAAAAGTAGTCCAATCTATTCCAGCTCTGTCAAGCCGTATGATCGATCGCGTGCTTTCCGGCTGCGTGACGCGCGGCAACCAGAACCGCCTAACGCCAGACGGTGAACCCAGGATGTCTTACACCGAGTTCGTCTGGTTCCTACTAGCTGAAGAAGACAAGACGCATCCCACCGCAATCGAGTATTGGTTCAGGTACGTCCAGAAAAAAACATTAATTATTTATGTTTGATCATTTTTATAGATAACTTTCTACGTTTAAAAAAATATAAATAACATACCTTTATATCTACCTAATATAAGTATACTGTATATTTAGATATAACCTATATAAAGGCTAATATTTCCAATATGGACCATCGATTTCGAAGCCCATATTTTTTTATAGATAGTACTCACTAAAAGAAAGCGTTTTGCAAAGTTTTGGGTTGCGGAAACTTACGGTTCATGAGATATATTTTTTTAAACTTTTCATACAAATTGGTAAATAACACGCAATTACAAAATAAATTTGACAAATGATTGATGTCAAACGTCAATTAGTGTAGGATTCCGAATATTTTGAAAGTATCGATACGTACTCGATACCAAGTATCGTATCAAAAGTATCAATACTACTTGGTATCGAGTACATTAGATGCATAGGAAGAGCTGATAAGTGCAATTATATATGTATATAAAGTTTACTCTATTTAAGTTTTACCTTAGTACTTGTATTTCATTGTTTGCAACTTGTTTGTATTTCTTAATTAATACAGCTTTTGTACTTTTATTTTATTGTTTGCAACTTTCTTTATTATCTAATTCTTACTACAATAAAGTGTTTACTTACTTATTGAATTACTTATTTAATATCCAAAAAGTACCCAAAACCGAATCAGAGCACCCCACTATCCACGTGGTCTTGTCTGCCCTACCCCTAGAGTGTATATAAGAGCCCGGAGGCGCGGAGGGAGAGCAGTGCCCGCCCGCCGTTGGCTTCGGCTTCGGCCTTCGGCGACCAGCCTCAGCCGCTACGGCGACCTCAGGTGCCTGTGCTTCCCTACGCTAGGGCGGAGGCATTGCTCATCCCGCAGCGCCGGAGCTGCCACGGAGCGCCGGAGCACAACTTCCCGGCTTCTTACCCCCCTAGTCTCCAAAATTAACGAAATGTACTCGATAACAAGTAGTATTGATACTTTTGATACGATACTTGGTATCGAGTACGTATCGATACTTTCAAAATATTCGGAATCCTACACTAATGGACGTTTGACATCAATCATTTGTCAAATTTATTTTGTAATTGCGTGTTATTTGCCAATTTGTATGAAAAGTTTAAAAAAATATATCTCATGAACCGTAAGTTTCCGCAACCTAAAACTTTTCAAAACGCTTTCTTTTAGTGAGTACTATCTACAAAAAAAAAAATATGGGCTTTGAAATCGATGGTCCATATTGGAAATATTAACCTACCTTTATATCTACCTAATATAAGTATACTGTATACTTAGATATAACCTATAAAAATAACATACCTTTATATCTAACTAATATAAGTATAATGTGTACATTAATTTTTTTTCAAGTTCCTTTCTTTTTTGAGAAAATCTATTTTTTCGAGCCCTTTTTTTAGTATTTTTTAAAAACACGAAAATTTTAATTAAAATAATTGCACTCATGATTTTTATTCAAATAACCAGTTCCGTTTTTTCTGTTATGTCGCTAAGATCAAAAAATATTATTTATATTTCATTAGTATGTAATTTGTATCTAAATATAATTTCCAAAACACACGAATTAAAGAAAAATCGAGCGAAAAATACCGAGCAAAGCTCGGTCAACCAGGTACTGTGTACATAAACATGCGCATATTCGAATGCAACGTTGTGTCAAAATATCAAAATAATTGTTGATGAACTTAGTTGAACGAACGAACACTGATATAATTTTTATTTATATAGATATATTTTATACATTGGGACGACATTAAAGTAACGACAGTTTGACATTTCCTTTCCTAGTGCCGAACCTACCTACAGGTCGAATATTTATAGTTTTATTAATTTTATAACATTTGCTTGTGTAGAGTTAGAAACCTTAAAATATCCTAAAAAGTAAAGAAACGTACAACATACAGCTCTGTATATTTTTATCACTTACAATTAGAGCGATTCGTTAAACATGGCGGACACTTAATACAATCGTATTACTTTTGAAACCTCGCCAATTTGTACAGTAACTTCTAAAACAATTAAATAATATGGATGGAGAAAAGGCATATCATAATTATAAAATTTTATAATGTCCTTATTAAAATAATTACACCTTTAAATCACCTTATCAGCCAGTAATCGACTGGACACGGGTATCTCTTATATTGGTCGGATTTTCCGTAATCGCCACACTTTTCAGAGCGACTGACGATCGTATTTTAACAGACACCTTGTACATAATATGACGCTTCTTTCCTTCGCCATTTTAAATTTTTTATTCTGCTATCAATATCGGATATCAACAGATCTTCCGGCTGTTTTCCCAAGTCCCCGAATGTTTTATAATGCCAGCAAATGCGAGGAAACCCTTAATATTAAATATTAAAATTAAATTTAAGGAATTAATAAAACTCATAACATTATATATTACAGATCATTAATAAAGTAATATATCATAATCAATAGCATATTTAAGTTTAAAAGACTCGTTTATTATTTTCTAACTGTTTAAAATGCAGATTGTGTAGCATTAACATAATATTATGAGCCGTACATATAATAATTTTAATATTATGGCATGCTCGATAAAGTTGTGATATTTCCCGGTCACGTAAACAGTCATTATCACATCGCGGCATTAACCTTAACAACTAATATACTTTAGTAACGAAATTAGTTTTTAAATTATAAGGGTCGGATATTGTACAGCTTCTGCTTTTGTTGTTAACTTCACAACGGGAAGTAAGTTGTTGTAACGAGGTTTCCACATTTTAAGGTCGCTAGAGACAACTTCTACTGTTTTTAAAAACATGTTTGTGTGTATACGTTCGTACATTCGTGAAATCTTTTCGCTTTGCATATATCGAGAGTAAAAAATCATATTAGCGATTCAAAACCTCATTCATCTCATTCATATCATCATCATCATATCTTTGATATATCAGATAATTCAACAGTCTCCAATCTTGAAAGGTACACAATATTATCTATGGGCACACATACACATTACACACCCAACTTGTTTTACCAACAACTCGCTTCTGCCCGCAGCTCCGCTCACGCGGTGACAGAAACACTTACATAATTACTTTACTGCGGATTTTTGTATTTTCCCAGTCTAATGTAGGTTAGTATCCCATGTGTCGAACTAGGACATAGTTTATCTGTGTGCCAACTGCCAAATTTCACGGAATCCGTTTAATAGCCGTTTATGTCTATGAGTAACAAACATCGAAACAACTTCACTTTCACATATAAATTTGTCAAACTTTTCTCATTACAATAGTATAAAAAGCTTAGTAAGTTGTATACGAAGATGTGCTTAGGAATTTGTTGGTACAGGCAATTATTTAAGATCGAAACTTTTTCAAATACAACATAATTTCATACAAAACCAATAGCTTGAGATTCAAAAAGTTTCTTTGGTTTCGCTACTCGAACAATTAAGAAATTGAAAATAAATTTTTACAGTTTATTGAATAAAGCTAACTTTACGAGTTTTACTGCATTTAATTTAACTTATTCCTAGATTCCCGATAAATTTTTAATTCCCCGCCGACCCCGAACCGTCAGGAATTAAAAATTTATCGGGAATCTAAAGTAATTTAAATTAAATGCTTTATTCAATGTCTTTTGTTCGTGTAAATGAAAGAAATTTTACTTTTTATTTTATACACACGTTAACCCTTTAACGCGCAAGTAATTTTTTTTTTCGTAATTTAATAGTTCTTGTACAAAAAATATATTTCATATAATAACAATGTCCATAAAAATAATAAAAAAATATTTTGAAAAACTGTTTTTGAGAAAACATATGTTAATTATACTCAACATCACGAAAGATATAAAGAATTAAAGGTATGTAGAGACGTTAAGTATTTTCAACATTGCTCTTTTATGGATGATCAAAAATAAAGCGAATACATTAAAATAAAAAGTTTACTGTTTTACATGGAAGTTATAGAAACAATTTCTCTTACTCACTAAGCATAGTCTCAAAGAACATTTGGTACATTGCATATTTGTGAAACCGTTTTTACAAAATTTGCACCTACCATAGGGAACAAATACTGGCAAATGCCCAGTGTTATCGTATCGTACAGCATCAGGTGGTCTCGGAGCAGATGGTAATTGAATTTGGGCAGCAGCATTATTTTCCTTATTCGTGTCTTTGGGAACTCTATTTTTTTTCAATAGTTCTGTGCATACATTAATCCGGAACTTTTTTAATGGCATGCATTTACTGAGTGATATATTGTTATCTCTTTTGTATAACAGCCATGCATTATTGACACATATGTCTATGGCTTGCGAAAATATAGCCATGTACCACCTCTTGGTTTTGAAAGAACTGCGATAAATTGCGATTAACATATCGGCCAGGTCGACGCCCCCCATGTGCAAGTTATATTGTTTTATTATTTGAGGACAATCAACTTCTGCCCTTGTCTTAGTATCTTTCGAATAACGCTTGATTTTTTCAATAGGGTGCGAATCCACAAATGAACTAGCAAGGGTAACAGTTTTATTGTCATGCCATTTTATAACAGCAATTTTATTTTTATTGCAAACCACTTGCTTGCTTGAACCCCTTCCTTTTTTTGCCAAATTTTTATCTGTAGGTAGTTTATCTTCACATCCTCTCAGTCTATTGCTTCTAATTGTGCCCAAGCTGAATAATCCGTACTCGTCACGTAAAAGATGTATCAATTCAAGTGACGTAAAAAAATTATCAAAGTATAAAATTGCAGGTCTTTTCTGTATAGTCTTCGCCAGAGCCAGAACCACTTTAGCCCCTAAGCCAAGGCTGTTTTCATACTCGTTAAATGACATGCCCCTAAAAGTATCGTCACCACCGTAATGGCAAAAAATCATATACTAGTCCCGAAACTCCTGCTCGTATAAACATTTTGAAGCCCCATTTTTTGGGTTTTTTGGCAGATACTGCCGGCGGCTGCCTGCCCTAGTGCCTTTATAGGGTACCATCATTTCATCGATGCTGTACCTTCCTTCTTCTTCAACTAATAGGCAGTTTTGTCTTATTTTCTCGAGGATGGGACGTATTTTATAGTAACGGTCATCATTTGCATCGATATTATTCGAAAAATGGAGGTATTTTCTAATTTGTTCATACTTTTTCAGGGGCATGACATCGGCAATAGGTGCATATCTTAACGTTTGACTCCAATAGTCCCTGTAAGATGGCATTTTCACTACTCCCATTAAAATGGTTATGCCGAGAAAGTCACGAATATCATCTTTGGATATATTTATGCCTTTCGCTTGCCCCCCCTCCACATTGTACAGCATATAAATTTGTTTGATCCACTATTAGATCTATAATATCTTGCGAAAAAAAAGAATAAAAGTAGTCAAGAGGAGATTTAGTATCGGTAGGTGTGCTGAATTGAAACAGGTCTTCAACAGTTCCTGCATATTTAAATTTACCTTTTGTCCATATGAAATTAAGAGGTTTGCGGATATATTTTTTTACCTTTTTTGTTACTAATTTCGGTCTATTGATAGCTTTCCTTTTATTTGATCTTGTATTTTCCGGAAGTGCAGATAAAAGTGGCGAATTTAATGTAGGTAAGGTATGTAGTAACTCTGACCCCGGTCTAAATATCTCATTCATAAGTGGAGTCAATGGGACTGTATCTTCTTCGTAAGGAGATATGGGAGATTCTGGATTTTGTTGGATATTGGAGTTACTATTATCAGATAGATCGTCCAGGATATTTAACCTTTCTAAAGAAGACTATTGATTTTGGCTCGGAACTAAAATCAGATAAGTCATTCGTCTCAACGTGTTCTAGTAATTTAGGAACCTGGTCTTCATCTTCTGAAGTATTGCTACTATCAGAAGGGGCGCATGCAGGTGGCACCAAAGCCATAATACGCCTAGTCCGCTCCCATTGTGGTTTTACCTTCAATAACCAAAAAAAAGTATGCAAAACCCAAATAACCAAGCAAATACACTTAAAGAAGTTCGCATAATTTCAAATAAACCCAAATGCATTACATTTAAAACAATAACCATTAAAAAGATAGCTATTAAAAACCATAACTCATTACCAAAAAAAAAACACAAACATAAAAAACACCATATAAAACAGCATTAATGTTACTCTATGTGTCGGGCAACGTTGAGTATTCTTAACGTACCCAGTTATATGTACTTTAGTCTATGTCTCGTAACGTTAAAAATACTCAACATGCATCAAACGCTTGTTTTATTTCATTAGTAAATGCAGTTGGGGATGCAATAATAAGATGAAAACAAAGGTTAGTTATTTGCAAACACAATTATAGCAAAATAAATGTACAAATCTTATGACAATCGCGAAATTCAGAAATAAATTACCTTACGGTCACGCATTGCTGCTGCACCCGACGACATTTTGCGGCTAAGTATTAAATTTTGACGCGTGACGTGTGAGATACTTTTTTTTTAGCTTGTCAGTTTGTTTGCCTCTCCGATTGTAAAGTGTTACCATATAAATAATCAACAATTTCTAACAAATAAATATTTTTATTAATAGTTGAGTATAATTAACACTGCGAATTAAAGGGTTAAAAGATTTATTTATAATCTTCAAAATGTTTTTCAGGTGTATGGACTTAGATGGTGATGGTTACATATCTATGTATGAACTTGAATACTTCTACGAAGAACAGATGCAGCGAATGGAGGCCATTGGCATAGAGACGCTACCATTTACTGATTGCTTATGTCAGGTTTGTATTGTAAACCGTCATAGTCCTTAAGATCATGTCTCGATTTCATTCGATATAAAATTCGATTAACGGAATTACTACAAAAATGTTATAAATAACAAATTTACCAAAACTTAACCAAACCAAACCAAAAAAATTTTTAACGTCTGTCTGACCGAACTCAACAATTACTTAGAACTGACATAATTGGAGCCCTCCCTACCAACTCCACAAAATACTATTTATATAAACTATTTGTCCATCTGATTGGATTATATTTTTAATATTATTTCAATCGAGAAATTTATCAAGCTCTATATAAGACACGTCGCCCGTGTCATACTGACATAAACTATGCTTAGGCTTTCCGTTAAAAGAATAACGCTTTTAATTTCTTGCTAAAGTAGAAGAAAAATATATTCAACAAAAGAAAAGATTTTACGTTATTGACGTAAAATCTTTTCTTTTGTTGAATATATTTTTCTTTTTTACCTTTGGAAACAAACATCCAAAGCGGTCGTACCAGCCTCAGCTTCGCAAGCGCGCCCGGGCTCTAGCCACATGAGTAAAGAGTCCTTACTCCTTACTCTGTACTCTAGTTGCCAACACTTATTACTCCAATCATAACTACATTTTCATTCCTTTCGGAACTTGTCGGTTGTCGCCACTGTTTGCTATATAGCGATGAAAACATCACTTCCTATAAAAAAGAATAAATTTGAGGTACGAGGTTTAAAAATAGGTTAAATAAGGAGAAATAAGTTAAAACATATTTAAATTATAATTTCTCATACATATTTAAATTAAAATTCCATATACAGATGTTAGATATGGTGCATCCGGCTGAAGAGGGAAAGATAACGCTGACAGACCTTAAGAAATGCAAGTTGACGCCGATCTTCTTCGACACGTTCTTCAATTTGGAGAAATATCTCGACCACGAGCAACGCGATCCCTTCGCTACGCAACGCGACTCCGACTGCGAGGTAATATGCCAATTCTTTTTTTTTTTTACTTTTCCTAAATACTTAACTAACTAATTTTTAAGTGAACTTTTATGTTTTTTGTTAGATAATTTCTTTGAAAGTAACTTGCTTTTTCATCTATCATGATCGTCCTACATATAATACACAACATGTTGAATAAATCTAATTTTTTCCGCTTGACCATGGGAACTGTAAAAAATTAAACACGATATAATCCGTAAAATTAGTTTTGTTCAGTATATTCGTGTAACTCCGAATTCCAAACATGTTAGTACTAATTTAATTTTAAACGGGGAGGAGCTGAGTCTTGTTGAAACTACCATTTTTCTTGAAATCACACTAGATGCAAAGTTTCAATGTGGCCCCCATATATCAAAACTAGCAAGCAGACTTAGTTCTGCTGCATATGCTGTAAAAAAGATTTTTCCATAGCATAATGTCGTATGGTATTTTGCTATGGGAGACACGCGACTGGTACTGGAACTATATTTTTTTTTACAAAAGAAGGCCCCTAAAGCAATCTATGATTTAAAACCTAAAGAGTCACTCAGACAAAAATTTCAAGAAACTAATATATTAACTTTGGCCTCTCAATACATTTATGAAAATGTAAATGTACGTACACAAAAATAAAAGTAGTTTTACAAAAATAAGTGGTATTCATTATGTAACCACTAGGAAAAGACACAAGCTAGTAGGATCAGTTACTCCTCTCCGAGTCAGTTATTTATTCTTGGTGCAATGTATACGCTTTTACAACCAAATTTCAGAAAGTATACAAAATTTGACATGCACAAATTTCCTAAGTTTGTACAAAAAGGGTTATTATAATATTAAGGACTTATGGATGATAATAACCCCTGGAATGAATGAAGGAATGAAGTGATCGCTCCGTAGCTATTTCTTATTTGTTATGTGTTGTTAATTGTAACATACACGATTGTAAGCTGTTGTTTTTTTTAAATACCGCTGGGTTTCTTGCTGGTTCTTCCCAGAACAGAGGTTTTTTATCCAAACCAGTGGTAAATTAAAAAAGTGATTTTCAATATTATGTATAATCTATATTGAATAAAAAGTTTTTTATTTGTTTCTGTTTTCAAAAATCGTAAAAAATCACCAAATAAATGTATCAACGCCACGATGACGTGTCATACAAAATTAAACATCTGTATCATGCGAAACTCAAATTCCGCAAATTGGTGATGGGTATTTAGAGTTTATAATTGCGAGATATCGCGTATATCCTTACTCACGCCTTGCCCAAGGAGATAAATATGGGCAAATCTTCCAATAAATAAATGTAAGTGAGCGCTTTCCTGAAATGGCCAGTGGCAAGCATCAATGAACTAATGCGAGTGGTAATGATGATGTCGGTATTGAAATAATACTAGTTTTTACGGAATTTATCGCGTATATTTAACTTTTTTTACCCGACGTTTCGAGAGCTTTACAGCACCCATGGTCACGGGAAGGACTGAGATGTTCAACGTCCAGCTGTCATAGTTAACCGCGGTTACCATAAATTAAAATTTAACTTTTGTTCCGATCTACACAGTATGAACTTATGGTATCATGGAGTCTTGCAGTTGTATGCTTGTGTTGGGATTTAATTTTATTTATTATAGGATCCCAAGCAGATGGTAGCACCCAGCCATCTTCTCTATTGAAATTAGGATGTTTTTTGATTTCAATAGCCTCGCGAATCATCCTTGGAAGGAATCGGTGTTCTTTAGCGAGGATTTGTGGTCTATCAAATCTGATGTAGTGACGGGGGCGATCCTGTACATGTTCACAGACTGCAGACTTCCCGGAGCGTCGATTCTTCACATCAGCTATATGTTCTTTGACGCGGGTTTTAATGGATCTTTTAGTTTGTCCTATGTAGGAGAGACCACATTCACAATCAAGCTTAATTTGATCTGAGGGTTTTAATGGTCTTAGTTTTCTATGTAGGAGACCATTAGCTTGATTGTGAATGTGGTCTCTCCTACATAGGAAACTATAAAGATCCATTAAAACCCGCGTCAAAGAACATATAGCTGATGTGAAGAATCGACGCTCCGGGAAGTCTGCAGTCTGTGAACATGTACAGGATCGCCCCCGTCACTACATCAGATTTGATAGACCACAAATCCTCGCTAAAGAACACCGATTCCTTCCAAGGATGATTCGAGAGGCTATTGAAATCAAAAAACATCCTAATTTCAATAGAGAAGATGGCTGGGTGCTACCATCTGCTTGGGATCCTATAATAAATAAAATTAAATCCCAACCCAAGCATACAACTGCAAGACTCCATGATACCATAAGTTCATACTGTGTAGATCGGAACAAAAGTTAAATTTTAATCTATGGTAACCGCGGTTAACTATGACAGCTGGACGTTGAACATCTCAGTCCTTCCCGTGACCATGGGTGCTGTAAAGCTCTCGAAACGTCGGGTAATTAAAAAGTTAAATATACGCGATAAATTCCGTAAAAACTAGTATTATTTCAATGTGTAGTGTTCGCGTAAATATAAGAAATCATGATGATGTCGGTAGTTATTATTTCGTATCATTATACAACAGTTGTACTTGTCACAGATTGACGTCAGCAAATCGTGGCTATAAATGAGGTCATAAGAATGTCGATACTCAACGATTTCAAATGTTAATATTTCAGCCTATTAAAGTCCACTGCTGACACACTGACACAGGCCTCCCCCACAGATTGCCTCATATGGGGGATATAAAAAAAATAAAAAAATATTTGCTATAGTTGCCACGCTTGGCAAGCGGCGTGGCATCCATATTTTTTTATTTTTACCGCTACTACATGGTAGTGTTACAGTTAAATGTCATTCAATTATAGTATTTTGTTATTACTTATTTACCTTTTATTTAGTAAAAATCATAATCAGACGGCTGATATAGGGTATTTTTCGAAACGTTTCCAGTATACTACCGAATACAAATGACGTCATTAATTGACGCAATATTGTACAGGCGTGCCGCCGCCATATTTATGGCGGGATATCCGACACAATGCGCGTACACACAATTAAAAATTGTTTTAATATTAAAACAATTTTTATTATTATTAAAACAATTTTTAATTGCGTGTACGCTGAATGAAGCACGCTAGAAGTTGTTTTTATTTATTGTAATACTAATTATTACTTTTTTTTAGATTATAATTAAAGCTTAGGGTCTTGCGAAGTTTTTAAAATTACTTTAAAGTCATGGAACTCATTATTTAATTTTTAGTTTGAATTTAAAAATTAAACTTTGATTCAATCATATCTGCATAATTTGTTTTCGATTAAAATTTTTGCAATTTGTATTAATGGTAGGCAGCTTATTTTTTTATGTCAAAGAGTCCAACTCATGAAGACTACGCTAAGAATAAAAAAAGTAGAAAAGAGAGCAGAATTTTCAAGAAAAAAAATTTTTGAATCGCTAAGTCGACATTTTTCAAAATAATACAAAAAAAATCATATCTCGTAAACTAAGAAAAATCGCGGAACATACATGGGGTATTTTCATGTAGTCCGAAAGGTCAGCATTCCAAAAAAAATTTTTTGACGTCACCTTTTGGACCACCCTGTATATGAAGCAAATATATGATGTTATATACTGTCAAATGTTTTGAAACGAATCAGCAGTATGGCGTCGATTTATGACGTTATTTGCACTGGACAGTACACTGGGTTCTATGTTGGAACATACCCATAGTAATGATGATTAATAGAGTTATTATTTTTTTACTCAAATTCTTATTTCATACATTACAGATGTCAGAATGGGATAGATTCGCTGCCGAAGAATATGAACTGTTGGTAGCAGAAGAGGGTGGGAGCGACGCGCAGGACCAAATGTAAGGCAATGTTTCATAACAACGAAACTAAATAAAAAACCATCCATTCGTGTTTATTTTATAATATTATGTTTTCGTTGCAAACAGGCAATTGTATAAGATAATAAAAGCCGCTGAGAAAAAGAAGTGCGTGAATAAATTCAATGAATTGTGCAGGGCTAGTCGACTTTACGGATATAGATTTTTCAAATTATAAGTTCTGTGGTAAAGTAGAAACATAGATAATATCGCAGAAAGCAATGCACAAAATAAAATAGTGTTCAAGCATTATCATGCATTGTGACGCACTTTGTGATAATAGATCATTATATAATATTAGTTGAATGCACACAGCTTTGTTACGTTTTGCATAAGAAATAACATATCAAAGTTGTCCGATATTATACAAAAATATGTTCTGAATGCACCAACACAGACATTATACAGAATGTATCATTATTGTAGAATTTATTAAAAATCATTATTTTCTTTCTTTTGAACTATCACATCTATAAAAACATCATTTTCTTTATTTAATTTTTATTTATTAATATATGTATAGTATATTATATCTGTCTTATTATTATTTATTTTTATTTTGTTCATTATTATAACAATTTTCTTCATCAGGGAGGAAGACAGAACTGGCTATGCTAGGGTAAGACTGTGTTCGTAAATTGCTATGTTTGTGTATGTATTTTTGTCGCATTTATCGTGCAAAACGATAACATTTTGTCCCTCAAATCCGATATTGCTTGTGAAAAAAAGCTTGTTTTATCACGAAAAAGCCTTGCTGGTTGTTGCAAGGATTGTATTTACCCTTCGTGAACTTGTCGCTTGTACGTGTGAAAAATTGCACCGAACTTCTAAAACATAATTCGTTTATTTTAAAAAGAAATGAAGTATTGTACATGTTTAATCATTTCAACAAGTCTCCAAATTGGTTTGCTATTGACGCCGCTGCTTCTTCTGCCTTACTGATGAAAAGTTAACTATTTCTTTGTAAATAGGTATATTACAATCTCATTATCCACACATACGAACTTTGAGCTTTTGTTTTGTAAATAATATTATAACTCATCAGCATTTGACTCGGCATGACATAATACTAACATTTACTCGAAATATTAATTGCATTCAGTACATAAGTAAATACTGTTCGGTTTCATGCAAAACATTTGCGATTAAAATTGATGTCATGACTTTCTATTATTTCAGCTCATACGATGAGACCGACGAAGATTGTTTGTCACCAAATATTGATGACATCACGAACACCGAAGTGGTCGAGGAGTCCAGTGTGGAAGACTCTACACTTAGTGAGGGAGGGGCGAGCGTTGTGTGTCGCGGAAAAGAACCCCTAGCAGCTACGTCCAGATCACAACCTGCTACAAATCCAGCGGCTGGCTTCGTCAATCTTAGTTCTATTTATTCACTTGGCGACGCCAATAGATGGCCAAATCAATCTGACAACACACCAAAAAATGGTATAACTGAAAGAAAATCTGAAAAACCAGTCCCACCTGAGAAACCGATTAGTCTGATGATGATGAATGGGAAAGTAGACAATACATATCCTGGTTTTAGCAACAACAGCTTTTTGTACTCACAGTTGCTGAACCCGAGCGGCGCGCGCGCTAAAGACCCGCCATCTTACATGGCTGCCACTAGTGGGGCTATTTATGAAAAAGCGGCCGAACTTAAAAAAACTGCTACATCTCCAAACAAAACAATCAACAAATCACCCGTCAGGAGTCCCGTGAATGGTGTAAACAAAATCTCCGATAATTACGAAAGAGCGATCGCTGAAAGACTAAGCCCGCAAAGAGAAAGCTCAAGGTTGAATCGCAGCAGTTTATTTAGTAAAGTTAATACCGGAGTTGTGTCCGGGAAATTGAAAAAGAATAATCCTCGCAATCACGAAGAGGAGGACGAAGATTACGCGCGTGATAGTGACGAGTGTTCAATTTAGATGTATTTACATTGTTAAATAGACAGGACTAGACTATTCCAGGTGATAATATTATTAGAAGATTTAATCGTTTTACAGTGTACCGACACCAAAGAGCGCCATACGCGTGTGCAATTGAATTAACAGATAATGACAATTTTATTAGTAATCGTTATGCCGTTGTTTAGAACAGAGAAATATTTTTTCAACGTATCCTAGAGGGCGATACGTGCCTTGTGAAGTTAACTAGAACGATTCCGTAATAAACTTGTAGGATAGAGTGAGTGAACTTTAGAGTGAATTAACGTGAATTTTTTTAACACGTAATTTTAAAACATGTTTGGTTTTCAGCATTTTACTAGTATTTATGTAATTTACCATTGTTTATTTTTGTTTTATAAAGCGTCTCAAAGTATATATATGCCAATTACAGTTTCTTTTATATAATATCTATCCATATATTTTATATTGTATCTACCTATGATATTTATTTTTCACGTAATAAAGTGTAGATTCCTAACTATGTTAGTCCTTTTATATTATGATCAAATAATGATCTATACCACCACATCATTATTGAGATTATAATAAACTCATGTTTAGAAAACTAAAAAGCTTTTAACAAAAACTTTAATTGTAAAGACATATCTGAATTAGATTTGCAATACATATTCTGCATATTCGGTATTCGGTGTGTGCTGAATATAATGTTCGTTGCACGTCTACTCGGAATCGTCTGTACCTACATGGTACCTACCACACACAAAGCATAATTACTAAAAAAAGTAACTAATTAAAAAGTATTAAAGATAACTTTAAATACTTTTTAGTTAATTACAAGTTGAAATACAATTCATTATTCCGTCATTAGGTTAATCTCTCATATCATGGTTCCATCCAAAGCGGAATATTATTTTGTAACAAATAGAATATTGTAATATTAAAATTAAACCTGAGTTATGATTTATGAAAGTCAAGGATGGTACACTGTCACATTGAAACACGCACAGAATATATATAGTTAGGTAGTAGGTAACAAAATATTTTTGATAAATATTGATGATATCAGCTGCAGTATAAACAAAATAAAGTAAATATTTTTTAATTGATAATAATGTGAAATATAACAAACATTACACTTTGCATGAATTCGTTATTGGAATAGCAAGAACAGCCCGTCAAACAGTTTTAGATTAATAAATTACTACATAGCAGTACTCAGCTAACAGTAGTATCACTTATGTAACAGTAGCTAAACGAATATAATAGGTATCAATAAAGCGCTAATAATGTTGGTGGTTTTAAGGGTGGCATTTATACAAAAGCAAAAGGCAGTCTTATTTGTTTTTCAAGATGATAAAGCAGAATGATTTTTCAGATATTTTTTTCATCTAAATAAATAAATATAGCAAGAGTATTAAGAATAATTGAGCAGTTTATATTTAAAGCAAAGCACATATATGTTTAATCGATTTATCGTCTTATAATTATCAATTTATAAGAATGGACATTTAAAAGCTTGATAGGCGGTGTTACTGGTGATTACTTCTCTTTGGTACTGTCACAGAAAAATGGAACAGCCTCTATATTTAAAAGTAGCGTATTCAAGGTCACTATAGGTGCGTTGCACTGAGGGCTTGAAAGTCTACCCATAGTAAATACTTATATTACCTTATTTTAAATGTCTACTTAGCGCGCTAAATGTTAAAATTAATTGAGGTTGTTTATTTAACTATTCACAAGATTAAATTGTTTATTAATCGGGATACCAGTATTCCGTAAACCTATTTTCGAAAGAATTGAAATCCTATTTTATTTGACGGAAAATTATTAAGTAATAATACGAAATAAATATGACCAGAATTTAGAGTTACCTATTTAAAAAATAAAAATAGGCGTATTACTACGTTGTTATTGTTGTATAATATAATATAAATTTGTCCTGGTCAGATTTCAAAAGCTTATTCGTATGATGTTAGTAAAGTCAAGTGAATTCGAATGATGAATAAACACAAACCTTTCGAGTAATACCTTCACTCGTAGGCCGATTGTTTAAAAAAAAGTATAAAACGATTCCAATTACTCATGGTAACCGGTTGAAATGTATATGGGATAATTTCAAAGTATACTTTTGGTTAATAAAAAGTCTACAAAATCCTTTAACAGAGCCATGAAATGTCGCGTCGTTCGTATATACATTTAAAAAAAGATACAGCCCAATAATCTTTGAAATCACTCCTACGTTATTGACGCCAACATTAAGTTATTTTCAAAAAGTAGCCAAATTTAAACTTAAGTTCAAATATATAAATATTGATATAAAGTTATTGCAGTTTGTGAAAATACGAGTAAATAAGGCTTCTACTTTTATTTGAAATTATTCCAAATTGAATGCCATTTATGGGCAACATTTTGTCTACCGATCGACTCAATACGAATGTGTGCGTGCACTGTAAAGTTAGTTAAAATAATGCATAACTACGCATTTTGAATTTAATAGAATGTTTGTAATTGTTTTAAATTAATTTTTCTTTACCATTTGCCTATATTATGAACTTTCTTACTTATTATGAACTTTCCCTGCAATTTTGGCCGGTTATTGCAAAATAACCTTGTATATATTTGAAATCATTGGGAGCCGTTAAAGAGTCACAGCAGCAATTATATTAAGCATTCTTTTTATTTCTTTCTGTTCTTCGTCTTCGACATCAGTCTGTAGAAGACAACTGCTGGTTGTAGCAACATCCCGCTGTGGGGGCGGGGGTTTGCCTACATCGCCACGCTAGACTGGCTGTAGGTACCAGCCGTGAGCATCTTAGACGAAGCTGACTGTCACCGGTCGTACTACACGCGCCTAGTCTCAATATCATCTCGTATAATAAGTGTGTCCTTTTTAAAACCCTTTTTGCCAACTTGCTGCAACACACGCTTATTAAAGTAGCATATTTTAAATAAATAAGCAATAAATAACTACTTGTGATTCGTTAAAAATGAACGAAAGCAGCAGTCACCCTTGTTCAGACAAAAAGAAAACAATTGTGTCCTATTGTCATTCGCCTTTACACGAAGGTAATTTTTTAAATAACGAGAATGCTTACTCAATATTGAATTTCATATGATAGAATCTGACGGCAGCTGTAAATAAGCCTTTAGATAGATGCTAGGTAATACGTAAATAATCTCTAGTCTGAAGGGTGCTGATTTGCAATCTTATATGCTATTCAGAAATGTATGACAGTTTCAAATTTCTATGAGAGAAAATTATTAACCACAACCAACGAGTGGGTTTTGATTTATCATTTTTATAAGTTTTCTTGTCTGTGTTTTTAGCATAGCGAAAACTATGATATAAATAAAACTAATGAAATAACTTTTTCAACATAAAAAATATACGCAAGATTGCAAGCTTTTCTTACATATTATAGGTTAATATTTTACAACTCAAGTGAAAAGGAATTTACCCAGCCTGCTATGTTATTTTGCATAATTTTATGAATATATCTATATTTTTACTATTTACGAATCTCAAAAACATCATGCTTACTAAAATTAACTAGTCATTTCAGTAATTAGCCTCAAATATTTCAATTTTCTACTACAATCTTCTACCATGTACCATTACCAATTAATAACCAAAATGATTGTTCACTTTTTAATAAATTTTATTAATGTGTTGTATCCTGTTAAAATTAATTGTTTTTTATTATAGGGTATGTTTAAATGCCTATTATTTGTAACATTACCTAGCTGTTTAAAATTAAGTTAATTTAGTTTGTAGGTGTACTTCTAATTTACCGAATTTCGAGATCTAAAATGTTTTGTAATTTAATATTATATTGCTGATTTAATAATAATTAATTTATGGATAGGTATTTAACATAAGTATGAAAACGGCTTAACACGTATTTTCATCTGAAATTACACTGCACTTTAAAAATAAACTGTATCTTCCACCTGGTAACCCGAAGCCATTATTATATAGTGCCATTAGAATAATTACGGTGTTTATCCTTACAATGTTATAATCAAAAGTACACATTTCCGGCAGCCTAAAATAATATACTTATACGGTCCTAAGCGGTAGTACTGCAGGTTTTAATTAAATATTCCTTCAAAATTTAGAAAATTACAAAAGAATTAATATTTTAGGTAATTTAGTTTAAATTAAATTAGTAGTAAAAGAAAATGTTTTTGAATGAAGTCATAGACTGTAACTTTTATTTAAATATTCTCAATGATGGGGAAATTATTGCGTATGTATATTTTATAGTTCAAAAACGACGTTACTTGTATACAATTTATAACTTTTAAAATAAACTTGTTTGTTGATATATTTAAAACTTAATTATTAATAACTGAATGCTGTGTTCTACTTGTAAGATGACTTGTTTGAAGGTTAGGAACTTTAAAAATTTAAAAAAAAAACTTCCTGATTTTGATTACTTTTTGTAACTAGGATCAGAAAATATGAAATGACACCGTATCTTATTGCTTTTTTATGTGTGTAAATAAAGTGATACACATTTTAATGACCACAATTAGGATATAAACATAAAGAGTACGTTTGTTTTCTAAACCCTTAGTAAAATGGTATACGCATATATACCTACTACACGAAATTTTAATTAAAAATGTATGTGGTGACATAGGTTTTATGTGTTAACAATATGATAATATTGGTGACAGAGGTAGTTAAGTATCCTAATAAAAGTACATTATTGTATTTAATAATGAGTTTTATTGCGACCTCATTTTTATTCTTTCAGGTACTGTAATTAAATAACATGAAAAAATAATGAACTAGGAATTTAAAATATAAAAGCACGTATAAGTAAAAACACTTCGCTAACTCCTTGCCGCCGCTGACGCTTCGAAGACTATCGCCATCAGCAGACGTGGACAGCACCTACCGATCAGTTTGCCTACAAAACTGCCGTGCTGTGTGTACTATTTTTGACACCGAACTCAAAGGTCGTGGGTTGGAATCCACCATTTCACTACCTACTTCTGCTAACACTACT